CTGGGGAGAGGGGATGGTGTAAGGCAATACAGAAAAATTGGCATCCCATATTTGTTCAAAATGGGACACGGTATTTAATTTGTCAGTACCTGACAATCTCTTATCCTCATATTTCTGAAAAGAGTCAATTGTATGACTGCATTGACATGTTCCTTTTACAAAGTTAACAAAACCTGAACAAAAATGGTCACTACAATCAACATGAACAGTATTTATAAATCAACTTACAATATTTTTAAATAGAACTCTCTATTTCACTTAATGTATATCAATGTCTTGTCACAAACCATCAAGTAATATTAGCAAAGAAGGGAGTTTATCACCTGTTGGCACATTACCTGCAGGAGGAGCTATAAGGGTCTGGTGTACTGTTGATCAGGTGGAAGTGAAAGGCAGAGGCCATCTTGAAACAATCCCTGGATATAGTTTTTATCCTGCTGTTTTTAATTTTTGCTGCTATATTCTTGTACTGTCCACTTTCTGCCGTGACAATGCAAATTTCCCACTTGTGGGACTAATAAAGGATTATCTTATCTTATCTTATCTTCTTATCTTATACTGAAACTGGCTTTAATGATTTGGAATGTGACCTCTCAGGTGGGAACGGACCCTGAGCTGGAACAAGTAGAGATATACCATTTTGATATGATTGGGCTCATCTCAATGCATAGCAAGGACTCTGGAATTAAACTTTTGGAGAAGGGCTGAACTCTAACAGTTTCAAGTGAGGAGTTCAAGTATCTTGCAGTCTTGTTCAAAAGTGAGGAGAAAATTGAGCTAGAAATGTATAGGTAAATTATTGATTTACCAGTCCATTTACATTCCAACCCTCACCTATGGTCACAAGCTCTCAATAGTGACCAAAAGAATGAGACTGTGGATACAAGAAGTGGAAATAAGCTTCCTTTACAGGGCGTCTGGGCTCAGCCTTAGAGATATGGGATGGGCTGCTCCTATACATCGAAAGGAGCCAGTTGAGGTGTTTTGGGCATCTGTATAGGATCCCTCTTGGAGGCTTCTTTGGGTGTGTCCAACTGGGAGTAGACCCCGTGGCAGATCCCACATATGGCAGAATGATTACATCCCTCGGCTGGCCTCAGAGCACCTGGGTATTCCTCCAGCTGGGCTAGGGAGAGGGAAGTCTGCGTATTGGTGTTCAGACCACTTCCCCACGACCTGGATAATCAATGGACAATGGATGGATGGGTGGATGGATAGATGAATGGAAGGAAGTGAATTTATCTAGCTTGATGGCTGAACGGAAGTTCTGGGGTGAACTTCCCGAAAGTGATCGATCTAAATGAATAACGAACAAGATAACGAATGATATAGGTAAAGAACGCGTGAGACCTGTAAGTGTTTCCCAAAACCCTTCGTTATTCTAGAATTAACAAACAAACTTTAAGCAGTGCATTGCTGGCTCCTCCCCAGCCTCCACATAAAAAAAGCACAGACAGTTGGTAACAGGAACTATATTCAATGGTGAAATATGTTGCATGATTGTCACACCAGACAAATGCTAATGTAAAACTGGCAACAGCAACAAAACAAGCATAGCTGCAGTCACAGAGCAGAAGCAAAGGGAGAGGGCTTGTGCAGTTAAAAAGCAGGTGTATATAGGCGTTGTAGCTCCCCCCTGTAGAAACACTGTACTCATCTCGGATGAAGAACAGAGCCAAAAAAATAATGTCTGACCCTCTGCATCCTGGCCACTCCCTTTTCAAGCATCTTCCATTCCAGCGAAAGCAAAGAATAAGAGCCCTGAGCACAAGTACAAATCGTCACCTAAACAGCTTCTTCCCCCAGGCCACTGGCCTTCTAAATAGGGACCCAGCATTGCACATCTCCTGTAAAAAAAAATCCTTGTACCTTTACTTTTAGAAGTTTATTTGTATTATGTGTATTGTATATGTATTGTTTATGTGATGATACCACCCACACCAAAAGAAAAAAAGAAATTCCTTGTATTTCTCTGTACTTGGCGAAGAAAAAGATTCCGATTCTGATTATGTTGTAAGGCAAGATAAAAAAATTCAAGAAAAGTAAGCAAAAGTCCAACAAAAACCCAGACACACACACAGTGTACTCTCAACCAGAAGGATGTATTGGCATATTGGTGGCTTCTGCTTATTTTCGCTTTGTATGCTTTTACATTCAGTGCTGTCTCTAAAATAAAGGTGTATGGCTATCTAGCATATGCAGGCATTCATGCTCACTTAGGGCTAAACTCACCAACTTCACAATGCTTCCCTGTGAACCTGTAGGGACACAGACAGTAGTACCGTCCTGCCTCCTCCATACAGGAGCCGCCATTGCGACAGGGGCTGGAGGCACAGACACTCAATCTGGCTGAAGGGAGACATGAAACATGGTTAATTATTCCAATACAATACTGCACCAGGGACTTTAAGCTTGTTTCAGCCCTTTTTAATTGTTAAAATTTCTCAATACTTAATTTTAATATAATTTTGTATACGTAGGCCATATATTGAGTTATTAAATTATGTCAGTGCCAGTGCCAGAACAAATCTGAAGGGGGGGATTGGGTAAGCAAATATTCCATAGCCATGCCCCTGGAAGAGGCCAGACTTATTCATTATAGGATCCTTGTTAAAAAAAAATAAAAGACAGTATCCTTGGTGGGTGGTGTTTGTACTGTCATACATGTTAGTATATGAATGGTATTACCTTTCTCACAATGCCTCCCCCTGTATCCATGTTGGCATTCACATGTGTAGCCCCCATCCCGCTCATAGCAGAAGCCTCCATTCAGACAGGGGGTGGAGTCACAGACTGCTTGGGTCTGCACTGGAATCACCCACACACACACCCTCATTTGACAGCATCCAGACACTCATCTTTGGCCTTTCTGCATAGATCATTTCTCAAAACATATTAAGCACATTTTTATTGTCAGAACTCTATGACCAATATGGACAGATTGTTTATTTTTTTTTTCTTGGGCTCAAAATACCTAGAGCACAATGTGAAGGTTATTTAGCTGCTTACCAAAGGGGTAGAAGTGCCTGTGATCTATGTCAGTGATTCCAGTCTGGCAGGTGCACAGGTAAGTGCCCTGATACTCCAGGCAAGGCCCCCCATCTGGACATGGCCTGCTGCTGCTGCATGGGGTCTGAGTGACCTCTTGGGTGACAGATGGAAACAATCCATAAGCAAAGTCCACAAGATTTAAAGTGACAAACAAGATTCACAAACAAGATCTCTCTTTATGTCAACAAATAAATGTCACTAGAGGAAGTAGTATTATCTAGACAAATTATTATTCAGTTTAATTATGATAATTTCCTCTCCTGGAGCCGACACCATCATGTTGGAGGGCTCCCTCCTGGGTGAGGAACCAGACGAAGTGCGGCTCATTAGACACCTTATGATGAGTAAAACCATGAATTCACATTTTCCCTTGCCCGGACGCGGGTCACTGGGGCCCTCCCCGGGAGCCAGGCCTGGGGGTCGGGCTCGATGGCAAGCGCCTGGTGGCCAGGCCTGCACCCATGGGACCTGATTGGGCACAGCCCAAAGAAGGCACATGGGTCTCCCCTCCAATGGGCTCACCACCTGTAGGAGGGGCCAAAGTGGTCAGGTTCGGCAGTGGCCGAAGGCGGGGACCTTAGCGGTACGATCCTCGGCTGCAGAAGCTGGCTCTAGGGACATGGAATGTCACCTCTTTGGTGGGGAAGGAGCCTGAGCTGGTAAGTGAGGTTGTGAGATTCCGACTAGATATAGTCGGGCTCACCTCGACACATGGCTTGGGCTCTGGAACCAGTCTCCTTCCACTCTGGAGTTGCTCGCAGGGAGAGTCGCCGAGCAGGGGTGAGCATACTTATTGCTCCCTGGCTGGGCGCGTGTACAGTTGGGCGGACGGGTCCTGACTGTTGTTTGCGCTTGAGCAGCAAATTGCAATTCAGAATACCCACCCTGTTTGGAGTCCTTGGAAGGGGTGTTGATCCCCTCCTGGGGACACTCTTGTTCTGCTGGGGGACTTCAATGCTCACATGGGCAATGACAGTGACACCTGGAGGGGCCTGATTGGGAGGAACGCCCCCTCTGATCTGAACCCGAGCAGTGTTTTGCTATTGGATTTCTGTGCTCGTCATGGACTGCCCATAATGAACACCATGTTCAAACATAATGATGTCCATATGTGCACTTGGCACCAGGACACCCTAAGCCGCAGTTCAATGATTGACTCTGTGGTCGTGTCATAGGACTTGCGGTCATATGTATTTGACACTCGGGTGAGGAGAGGGGCAGAGCTGTCAACCGATCACCACCTGGTGGTGGGTTGGCTCCGCTGGTGGGGGAAGAAGCCAGTCAGGCCTGGCAGGCCCAAGCATATAGTGAGGGTCTGCTGAGAACATCTGCCAGAATCCCCTGTCAGAAGGAGCTTCAACTTCTACCTCCGGCAGAACTTCGCCCATGTCCCAGCTGAGGCAGGGGACATTGAGTCCGAATGGGCCATGTTCCACGCCTCCATTGTTGAGGCGGCTGACCGAAGCTGTGGCCATATGCTGTCCAGTGCCTGTCGTGGCAGCAATCCGTGTACTGGCTGGTGGACACCAGCGGTGAGGGATGCCATCAAGGTGAAGAAGGAGTCCTATCTAGCCTTTTTGGTCTGTGGGACTCCAGAGGCAGCTGATGAGTACCAGCGGGCCAAGTGGAACACGGCTTCGGTGGTCGCTGAGGAAAAAACTTGGGTGTGGGAGGAGTTTGGTGAGGCCATGGAGAACGACTTCCGGACAGCTTTGAGGAGATTCTGGTCCACCATCTGGCGGCTCAGGGCGGGAAAGCAGTGCAGCATCAACACTGTTTATGGTGGGGATGGGGCGCTGCTGACCTCAGCTCAGGATGTTGTGGGTCAGTAGAAGGAATACTTTGAAGACCTCCTCAATCCCACCGACCCACCTTCCAATGAGGAAGCAGAGTCTGGGGACTTGGGGGTGGACTCCCCTATCTCTGGGGTGGAGGTCGCTGAGGTGGTTAAAAAGCTCCTCAGTGTCTGGGCCCCGGAGGTGGATGAGATCCTCCCTGAGTTCCTCAAGGCTCTGGATGTTGCAGGGCTGTCCTGGTTGACACGCATCTGCAGCATCGCGTGGACATCGGGGGCAGTGCCTCTGAGTGAGGGAAGGATGGAACGGGAGATCGACAGGCAGATCAGTGAGGCGTCAGCAGTGATGCAGGCACTGCCTCGGTCTGTCATGGTTAAGAAGAAGCTGAGCCAAAAGGCAACGCTCTCGATTTACCAGTCGATCTACTTTCCTACCCTCACCTATAGTTGTGAACTGTGGGTAGTGACCGAAAGAACAAGGTTGTGAACACAAGCGGCTGAAATGGGTTTCCTCTGCAGGGTGGCTGGGTTCTCCCTTAGAGATAGGGTGAGGAGCTCGGTTATTCAGGAGAGATTCAGAGTAGAGCTGCTGCTCCTCCGCATCGAGAGGAGCCAGATGAGGTGGCTCGGGCATCTGGTCAGGATGCCTCCTGGATGCTTCCCTGGTGAGGTGTTTCGGGCATGTTCCACTGGCAGGAGGCCCTGGGGAAGACCCAGGACATGCTGGAGAGACTGTGTCTCTCGGCTGTCCTGGGAACACCTCGGAATTACCCCAGATGAGCTGGACGAAGTGGCTGGGGAGAGGGAAGTCTGGGTTTCCCTGATTAGTCTGCTGCCCCCATGACCCGACGTGACCCGAAATGGATGGATGGATGGATTATGACAATTTGTACCATTTCCCTGGTATTTGGATATTTTGTAAAATTGCTGTTCAAAAAACCCCTGCATGCAAGGAAATGGTCCTAATAATAATTATAGAAGGTTTCAGTAAGTACCTACCAAACTGGCAGTATACTCCAGTGTACCTGGATGGGCAGTCACAGCTACCATTCACATCCACACATACACCCCCGTTTTGACATAGGCACTCCTCTGCAAAGACACAAATGTTTCACTTTCAGCACATGGGTGTGAAAGAACACACTGTGGTCACAGTGATAATTAATGCTCTGATACTAAAAAATCAGGTGCATAGCAATATAATTTAATATGTGCACATGGAGAGACTGCAAAACATTTTTAAAATGTAACAAATTTACTGCATTAGTGTCAGCGATACTGGTGCAATAAACAGAAAAATATTATGAAAGTCTCAAAATCCTTTGTGTGGAAAGACTGTAAAAAAATCCACATTGACAGCTGCATCTCTTTCCCAAATATTTTACAGGGCCAAGGTGTTTGGATGTGTGTTTCTTCCACACAAGCAGTAAATATAATTTTATTTTCCTCCATCAACTTCCTCCACCACCCCATAACTTCAGGGCATCAAAGGAAGTGGTAACTAAATCTTTTCTTTGTAATGTTCAGACGTCACAATGAGGATGATGCATTCCTGAAATCTTGTAATGAGTTTCTTGATAAGAAAATATGAGACTAATGGCAATTAATCGTTGCTAATTGCTTGGAGATCAGTGTCTTCAGTGATCAGGTGTTCCCCATGTCCTGTTGCTGCACTGCTGCCTCATTCTTCTGCCTTGGGGTACTCGGGGCCTTTTTCCATTGCGTGATCCAAATGAGCGAGGCAGGAAGGAATTCCAGAGATTTAAGAGAGCCTATATAACTGCTGATAGCTATTTCAGCTTAAGGGTGAGGTGTTGCATGAATTTGCAATGGCTCACGCAGTATTAAAAAAAAAGCACGCAGTGAATGGCTTCAACAGGTGAAACCAATCCCTCAAGTTGCCCAGCCAGAGCTGAGACATTTTTTCTAATACAAAAATAATTAATACAGCCAGTGCAACACTATATTATGGTGTAAAATAATTCAAGAAAAAGGCAAGAACAGTTCACTTCATCCTGGAAAATGTTTCAACAGCAGTAATTTTTAGACAACAATATTGTATCCAAGGTGAGACTCTAAAGTCAAGTTTTTTTTTTTTTGTTTTTTTTTTTTTAAACATATCTAATTAAAACTGTACTGTAGGTTTTCCTCATCTTAAAAAACTGAATTCCAAACATTTCTCTCATAAAAAACACCATTCCAGTCTATACAGGCATCTCTTTTTGCAGGCAAACTTATAAAACACTATAAAATAACTTTAAAACATCAGGCAACTGTTATTGCTAGTTTCCACTATTAATTAATAATAATTCAATTATTATCAAAGTACTGCCCTCCCTCCCTCCCAGAAACCACTTCAGAAGCCATCCTTCACATTCTTCTGGTGAATACTTCTACTGTACACTATACTATGTGGTACCTATAAATTCTAAAAGAGAACTATCAATTCTAAAAGAGTAGGTCAATAGATCAATTCACCTTCACATTTATGGCCATAGTAACCTGGTAAGCAAGTGCAGTTGTATATTCCAGGGCTGATATATACACAGGACTGATTCTTACATCGTTCCCCCTCACAGGATGCTGTCAAATTCAAGAATTACAGTTAGAGTGTGAGCATAGCTGCTGTTCTCCAGATTGTATCTTTTGGCTTACAGAGGAGCTTAAGAGACTTGATGCAATTCGGAAACGAGACCTAAATTTAAACACATTTTCCTAGGGGCACTATATGTAAAAAACACTAATAGGAGTAATTTCCTTTGCATAATGTTAGATATGACCATATTAATACTTTTCACATGATCTTTTTATGAATTATAACATTGAATATAATTCTTTCTTTAACTGTAAAATACGTGCCTGTTAGTCTTTCAGTTACAGCCAATGAGAAATTCCCCTGAATCTCAATTTCTGTAAAATAAAATCAAGAAATATTTGACAATGAAAACAATCAAATCTGTACAGACAAATCTGTATTTTCTAGTTGAAGTTAAATAAAAATACAGATCAAAGCAAAATCCATTGATTCAACCAACTGCTTATTCATTAAGGGGGTGAAGCTTATCCCAGGCAACATTGGTAAAACAGGATGACAAGATGCCAAAGCAAAATGTGTAACATAATTACATATTCATATAACAATTTAACTTTAGTCCACCGTTTAGCAAGTTGATTAAAATTCAGAAATCTTATATTGACATAGATGAGAAGAGAACTTGCTGAGAGGTCCTGATTTTCAGCTCAGACATCCGCTTCTGTGGAGCAACCGCTGACCACATCATGACTCTAAAGAAGACTCTAAAAACACAAGATGCTTCCGGAATGTTCCGGCAAGCTTGCTGGCTTACTCCAACATGTGGTTTGTAGCCATAATCATCCAATTTTCCCTGTACAAGTTTATTCAGATTTCATTTTTTCATTTTCCCTGTTGTAAAAATTTTATATTACTTTACATTTCTGTATAGCATCCTGTAAGTCATACATAAGCTATGGAAACATTTTTAACAAAAGCAATTGAAACAAAAGCAAAGGTGGAAAATTATAGTCAAATGTTAGCTGAGAGTGGGGACAGGAGTTGGGGGGAGCATGGATGGGAACCCTGGACTGGGAAAACTGGGACTTGTCCCACCTGTTTCACAATGTATTCCAGTGAAGGAAGCAGGGCAGGTACAAGTATAGTTGTTCAACCATTCGACACATTCTCCCCCATTCAAACATGGCTTGGATTCACATTCGTTAATATCTGAATCAGTGGAAATAACACAAAATAATCCAGTTATTGAGATGGCTTATTGAGGTCCATTTACTTGAAAAATAAATACATTAATATATTTATATATTTTGCTTTGACAGCAGCTGCCCACCTGTCTCACAAAGGGGCCCAATGAAGCCTGCAGCACACAGACAGGTGAAATTGCCCACTCCTTGGACACACTGCGCTTTGTTCTGACAAGGTCTTTCCTGGCACTCATCAATGTCTGTAATATGAACAAGTACACATATACACAGTTTAGCATCTGTACCTGTTAGGAATTTTCACTGGCTTACTTTTTAAATAACTCCACTTACTTTTAGCATCTAAAAAAAATCTGTCCATTTTTCAGCTGATCTGCCTTTGTGTGGACATTATTAGGACGGCCAGTTTAGTCCTGAGAGCAGGTTTAATAAGGCGGTTTGAGGAGAAAAGCCTACACTCTTACATCATTATTGTTTACCTACTAAGGATTTTATCCAAAGCAAATAACAAAGCTGCTTGTATTTTATAATCATAATCCAGGTCCAATGCATTTCCACTTGACATTTAACATCCACCTGTTAAGTCACTGTTTTAATCATAACACTACTTACTGCTATGCTGTGAGGAAATCTGTACCTTTGAGGGTACAATTCCTTGCCACTGGGCCTGTATCCACAAGGGTCTGTCTGGTGTACCCTAGCTGTAGGTAAGTGTACTTTTTGATGTGCAGAAATGAAACTAACTTGTTTGTACCATTGGTGGTATGTAAATATTATTTGTACCTTGGGGAACAAAACTGTACCAGAGATGTACCACTTTTCTGGCAGTGTATAATTGATAAAATTATTGTCATGATTACCCAAAGGATAAAGAATTGCAGGATATTATTACCTATTTCACACAACTGGCCCTTGTAGCCTGGGCCACACATGCAGGTGTAACTATTTGTCTGGTCTTTGCACAAGCCACCATTTTGACAGGGGTGTGAGGCACATTCATCCACATCTGAGGAGAAAAATACAAGAAAAAAAACAGGCAACAAATGGATGCTGACCCTCAAAATCGAAAAAAGTATGGGTATGAGAAGCATGGTAGGAAAATGTGGTGTTAAGATATCCTGGAATCAAGCGATCCATGGATTGGCAGGTCTTGTGGAAAAGGCTTCATTATGCAGTATGGTTGAGCTGATCAGCTATACTAAAGGAGCCATAAAATCAAGTAGTGCCATGGTATGTCAAATTCAGTCCAGGTGGTATGGAAACAAGAAACGCTGCATTGCTGGATGAAAGCAGAAAACATTTACAAGGGAGCTGCTGACCTATATGGCATGTCCTCCCCGTGAAGCCAGCCAGGCAAGAGCAGCTGAATGATGGGTTTCCTGTGATGCAGTCATTGATGCAACGTCCTCCATTCATGCAGGGCCTCAGGTTCTGGCACACAAATGCTGGGGGAAGGACAGTTACATCTCTCCATGGAAACACCACAGATGAAGTCATATGTTGCAGGTCCTGTTAACTTCTTCAGCTATATAGACTTAATTCAGCTACATAGACTCAATTAAACATAACGATAAATCAAAACAATGGAACAGGGAAGTAATTTTCCCCAAGAACCAAAAAGAACTTGTAGAAATATAGCCATCAAAATGCCCATTGCTTGCTGAAGTTTTTTCACTGTATGAATAAAGAATCTATTGAATTTTTGTAATAATAAGCCACTCAAAGGCTCCTCTCTGGGCCCCACAGCACACCAGACTTTGGAAAGGATCCTACCTGAATGGTTGCAGCCACCCACACGCACCAGTGCATCATCAATGCGGAAGACCCAGCGCCCAGGGTAGCCCACATTAGTGGTGCTCTCCACATCCACCACATCACTGGTACGAGAGCCTGGTATATTAAAGTAGCGCTGACCATCACCTGCATTGAAGCCTGCCTGGGAAGACAGCAGTGTGCTCCCATCATATTGCCTGAACAAGAAATCCAGCCCGCTGGCATAGGCCTTAAAGGAGAGCTACTGCAGCAGATACAAGATGTCAATTTTGGTTGTTGGAGTCTTTTTGGTTAGTTTTTCATTTGGCTGTTATTCTAATTTAAAATGATTCTAATAAATCAAATCAAATTATGGCAAATTTGTGATTTAAATGTATTTTGGCAAGACAGTGTAAACCACCATCCAGGGCCATTCAAAGTACACACAATGGCCATCTAGGGCCATCCAAGGCCATCCAGAGTACAGCAGTTGAAACCACGATTTTTATTTGTTGGGGGTACATGGTTATATTTGATTAGGGCTATAGTGAAATCTGTGAGGAATGAAGAAGCCTTACCTGTGCTGCAATTCCACCAAGGCCTACAAGATCTCCTCCACTGCTAGCATGCATTCCAGTAGTCCATGTAATATTATGATAATGAAAGATGGTGAAGGACAGTTCTTCATCAGTGATGAGAATGACTTGGAATGTGTTTACCTGCAGGAAGTTTAATCCAAAGTGATGTCAGAGTTTGCACCATTATGACACCAGATTAAAACACAGTGGAGAGTTTGTTGGTAGTACAATAAAGCATTGAAAATGTTGAGCCTTCTTTAAGTACAGAAAGAACTGAAAATGTGAATATAGCAGTAAGAAGCACTACAGACCTGTAGACATAACATATAACATTCATATGCTAATGTAGATGTGCAGAAACATCAAAGACTTTGAGCATCAATAGAATATCAGGAACAAGATAAGTAAAAATTATACCGGTGTTAAAGAACTGCCTCCAAAGAAAGTAACTTGATGCCAGGTAGCAATGAAGACCCAGGAGGTAGTGAAATTGGGGAACTCTGGAAAATACTGGCTAACATCATTGGTGGCCCTCTGAAGAATTGCTGGGTCCTTGGTCTCTCTGTAGAAGACCTGCCCTGCACGTCTGTTGTCCACATCTGCCCAGAAGGGGGCAACCACTCTTCGATCTCCAGAGATCGGGAAGACAACAGGTGTAAACTGGGACACCTCTCTCAGGAATGACACTAGGCCATTGTTGTTGACCTGTGGCACCAAGCAACACAGAGGGGTCAGCACAAGATCTCAAGCCTCCATTCACTTCTAGGCTCACCCAACCATTTATCACAGAGGAACCCTGGAGTGACTAAATTACAGAATTCTGTAAAACACTGTTCAAGTCCTTTAGTTAGGTTTCCATATGTCATGAATTCTCAAGAATAATTCTCTCTACTATAATTCTAAAGAAGGCTTAACAGAAGTTGATCTTCCTGAAAAGGCTACATAGCTTTGGAGTAGAAATCAAAAATTGGTGAATTTCTACCTCTGCACCACTGAAAGCATCCTGACTGGATACATCACGGTGTGATTGGGTAACCAAATTGCTCAGGGTTTCAATGTACTGCGAATGATTGTCTAGACAGCTTTTAAGACAATTGGCACAGATCATCTACATCTCTACATCTCCCACTGTCAGTAAAAATGCCTGCTACCCAGCTAACACCCTCTTTACTCTTTACACTCTTTTCCTCCTAGAACACTTTCTGTGCATCACCACCTCCACCATCCACAGACAGTTTATTTTCTCTAGTTTAGTTTGCAAGTTTCAACCAAGATATCACTATAATTAAGACAAATTTGATTTGTGTGTGTGTAAAGAACACTTGATAACACTTTACTTAAAGCAGTCATAAATACATTATAGATACCTTCATAATGCCTTGTAATACATTCAGAAAGTATTACAAAGACAGCTATAAACATTTATAAACAGGCACAACACATTATAGCTATGTTTATTATGTATTATGAATGCTCTCATGCTCTATAATCGATTCACATTGACAGTAATTGTCAATGATGAACTGCCCTCCAGAGTAACCATCGTACTGAAGATGCAGAACCTGTATGATGATCGAAGAGCAAAAGTACTGGAGGGGTTGGGATTAGGATGGTTGCGTTCACTGGACTTCACTGAGCAATCAGTTACCTTGGGGTAATGCCGCATAATATTAACAAGCAGTGGTAATTTTGATTGAATGCCTTAACTGTTATGAAGACAGAGGAGCGGCATTTTGTTGAAGTATACAGCAAGCAGTTTATGCAAGTAGCAAAATAGTGGAACATAAAGTCAGCACTCTCACCACTGATAGTGCTCGGAACATGATAGCAGCAGCCAAACAACTGCTATTTGATCATTTGCACATAGACAGCAAATTCTGAGAAATGAACAACCACTGAGAGCTACACTGGCACTGCATAGAACTAATGCTGCTATGCCAACAGCAGCCGAGCTGGATAAACTGCAGAGGTTGGTGGCCAGGCTGGAGCCCTGTAGGTAATTTATTGATGCTCTCTCATCAATAGTCTGTTAGTCTGTTTCTAAATCAAAGTGGGTTTTATTATAAATGTCTGTGTGCTTTTGTAATTATTACATTGCGGGAACCAGGGGTCTGTATCACAAAGCTGGATTTCTTGCTTAGCTGGATAACTTGCCAGATTTAACATAGTCTGGGCTAAATGTAAGTGAACCAAGATAAGGGCCTTTTAAACTGGGGCACCTTAAATTTGACAAGTTATCTGGCTAAACAAGAAATCCTGCTTCATAAATCAAGCCCCAGATTTCTCCACAATGTGGTTAATTTTTTTTTTTAACCTCAATTTTATACAAATATGTAAATGCAATCAGAAAACTAATATAGCCAAAAGTTTTGTATTTGTCAGTTACTTATGGTAAAAGTTAGGGCTGGGTAAGAGTTAAGGGGTTGTCATAGTTATGATTACTTTATGCTGATAGAAATAGATATGAATATTAACACCATGCATTTGTCTGTCTGTCTGCATCTATGTGAGTGAGGGAGAGAAAGCAATTATCCTGTAGTGAGTCACTCAGTACGTTTACATGCATACTAAGAAAATGAAATTATTGTGTTAGTCTGACTAAATCTGGACTTTTAAAGTACATGTAAACATGTTAGTCTGACTGAAATTGTACTAAATTGAATTTCTCAAAGTCAGTATAAGACACCCAGATAATGCAATTGGGAGTTAATTTACTCCTGCATGTATTAGTTCAATCGGACTAGGCCTAGGTGCACTAAATGCACTATAGGCCTAGGTGCACTAAATGCACTATAACCAGCATGTACAACATTTGCTGCCTTTCTTCCTTAAATAAGGCCCATAATTGGCACCTACTTTTTCACAGAATGAATGACCTCACTAATTGAACTTCACACTGCTATTATTTTGAACACGCCCCTTTCAAGTAATGATTCTGTTACACATAATCAGCAGCATGCATGTCATGACTGTTGGATCTGTTGGTTTTCCATTACTGTACTACACATACTAGTAAATTATTTGCCATGTAGAAATATCCTCCTGAGACCCAAGGAAAAAGTGTCCTTCAGTTTTAGGTTAATTGTGATTTTTAGAGGAAATAAGACATCTTTTTTCAAATAAATTTTTATTTTTAATTTCACAGCATGTCCTCTTTAGTGTAAAACAGGAATAAATATGTTTCCTTACATCAGTGAAAAAATATATGCAAAAACAAAATGTCCACTGCAATGGATATAAATGACTGGTTGGGGTCTCAGGAGGATATAATTTCTACCAAAAACGGTGATTGATCAGGTTAGTGATATCGGACTGCTATTATTTTGAACACAACTGTGTGTGTGTGTGTATATATGTGTATATATTCAATAAGTACATCCTACCTGTAGTGTAATTTCTGCAGACACTTACATGTGCTAGACAAAAATTTGTTAGAACAATATTATAATTTATAACTAACGTATACATAACATTTAAGCAATACACTAGTAAATCATAAAACATACTGCTACGTACAGGAATACGTAGACATGCAGAGTCGCAATTCATACGCTTTTCATTTGTCATTTGTCACTATTTTTGTGCTAGACGAGTTTGTTAGAACAATACGCATTATAATCTATAATAACATAATTAAATATACATATATATTACTTCTTCTTCTTCTTATTATTATTATTATTATTATTATTATTATTATTATTATTATTATTATGTTACTCACATCCTTAGCCCGACATCCACATATCATATGAAGTTTACAAAGTGTGTTTTAATAAGTTTACATGTGTTTAAAGTGTGTGGGAGGGGTATTTTAAGGCTTAAACTATATAAAAAATATATATACTGTATATATTTATATGGTCTTTCTATATCTCGGATTTTCACCTTTCGCTGATGGGTCTGGAACGTAACTTCCGCGATAGGCGGGGGACATTTATACCCAGGGGTGAAAGTATGCCGGTACGCTCCGGTACGACGTACCGTTATAAGATTTACAGCCGGCACGTAGTACAGTACTGGTAAGAGTAGAGGGTCTAAAAAAACACATTTACAATGAGTAACGTCCGCTGTTTAAGTTGAAAACACATCTACCAACAAAATGTAATTTGAGACATGCATTCGATGAAGAGAATAGCGTTTAGGCTACTCGAAATAGCTATTAGTCTGTGGTGCACTTGCACGCGTCTGCTGCAGACCGGTCTTTTTTTTGCGCTCTGTCGGATTTTGGCAGGGCGTTTGGTGTGAAGAATCCCCTCGATAAAAATTTGTTCCTCTTTTGTGGTGATTTGTGTTTATTCCGACATCACAGAGCGCTGCACAGCTGTTTTCTGTCAAACAAACTATTGTCATGACTTAAATGTTTCCTATGCGCGCATATTAGGCTACTTTGAAGGGGTGCGCTGCATGGACGCTCGAATTAATTATACGAGGATTTCACACTACAAATTTTATTACAGTAGGGCCTGGGCTTAAAAAGAAGGCTAAAAGGTACCAATTGTTTTTTAAAAGGTTGACAAAGCCAGCACTATGATCAATAGCTTTTAATAATTTCTGCAAATGTCTACTTTGCTCTTTCTGTCGGGGCGTTTTTGGAGCTCCCCAGTCGTCACCTCTCTAAAGTCTCGAGCTTGCGCTGCATCTTCCGCAGTTATTCAGTCAATAAAGTCTTTGTCTTTTATGAAAAATGTGTAAATTATATAATTGTTTAATTGGCATCTTTATTTCAAACGACCTGACCGACCGCGACCCGAATATTATTAAAAAATATATTTTTTTAGTGATTGGATCAATTTTTGCATCACTGGTGCGCTGAGACGTTGGATTTTCTAACCAGATCCCGGATCGTGGGCTCTTAGTGGTGGTTGCAGCTCGGACAAATAATAAATGACTCTTCAAACTTAAAACATTCTTGTGATTGGTTCCTCATCACATGTTTCACTCAGGAAGTGAGTGAAAACGTTTAAAAGCTTTGCAAGGAAGAAAAGCCAAAATGCAGAAAACAATTCTTCAAATGTTTAAAAGAAAAGACAGAGATAATGAAAACGCAAATGCTAAAGTCAGAAAAACATGTATGGAAAAACATACATACATTTTCCATACATGTATTCTTACATGTATGGAAAAACATGTAAGAGAGATATAAAATGATAAAGTGATTAAAAGATTGTAGTACCGGCAAGAAATGAAAACTACTTTCACCCAAACCTATACATACTTATCTAAATGTATCAATGTAATCTACAATTGTTATAAATAAATAATAATATACAAACATACATGTGTATAGAATTTTGTATAAGGGCCCACACATCTTCTTCGTACCCGGGCCCAGATTTTGTCTCGACAGCCCTGAGTGTAGTAATTTGAGGTGCTGGTTTTACACTGGTATAAAAACTGGTACTGGCACTGAATTACATCATAATGCAAGGCAGGATATTTTGTACTGAATTCAAAAAATGGCTGTAGTAGGACTGGATGAAGTGTGATATTAATACCAACATCAGCTAGATTAAGATGAGGCTTTTTTTCCCTTCAAATTTGTATGGATATTATACCACAGGGAGTTTAAGTCTCACCAAAACATTATTACTCTGTCATAGGAAAAAAAGCCTAGCAAGTTTTGCTATTTTAATGATTGCTCGTTTTCAAGATTATCTAGTATATGTTTAAAAATTAGCTTAAAGTCTACATCTGCTGCTTAT